GGGGGGGGTGTTGGCTCGGTGGTATACAGAATTAGAAAATTAACAAGTATTAACAAGTATTAAACGCTTATGGGGCATACATTTACATGCAGGACATCTTTATTTCTTACCTCTTGAGAATTCAGTTTCATGAGAACTGCAAAGTTGGTCAAGTGATTACAAGCACAAACTGTGTGTGTGTTTGTGGAAGAAACCATTTCACAGCCCTTCTGGGACCAACTGCCATTATATGATGTCCTGGAATGACAAAAGGAACATAGATACCGTATATATGCGTCGTATCCTTAGTATTTATAGAACTAAGGCAATACCCATTTTGATATGGATATCATAATATCGATAGTAAAACCCTCAATTGTCCATGAAATGCCAGTGCCCAATAAAATTCAATTTATGTATACCATCTTACATCATCATCTGTTTTATAATTTAAAATAAATAACATTAAATCTTGATACTTACGGTATCGAGAAGTTCCAGAAACTGCAATGTGGGTTGCTGTAGTTCATTTTCTGTTTGGCACAAACAAAAGAGATTGGAATTTTGTTATGAATATCAATCATTACCGTTGAGGCTGTATAAATATATAAACTTATGGTGTGAAGCCTTTTCTCTAAGTCTACTTATGTTCCTTAGTGATTTTCTCTTGGTCCTTTGTCCCCCCCCCCCCTCCCCCAACGACAACGTTAAGGTTCCTTTCAACTTTTAAATAGCCATGCCCTGGTTTAAATTAAGCCCAGAGATTGTTTCAGGATTTTATATGTGAATTAGCCATGCCCTGACTTTGATCAGCCCAGAGGTTGTTCCAGGGTTCTATATGTGAGTTAGCCATGCCCTGTCTTTGATCAGCCCAGAGGTTGTTTCACTCGGGTTCGATCTGTGAGTCCCCAGAGGTTGTTTCAGGGTTCTATCTGGGAGTTAGCCATGCAATGACTTAGATCAGCCCAAAGGTTGTTTCAGAGTTCGATAAAATTGAGGGTGTTACATGCATATGTCAAGTTTATAAAAAAGAATAAATGGTCAAGAAAAATGAAGAATTGGATTACAAGAACGTTTCAGCATTACCTGAATATGATGAAGCGTTATTATGACGTTCTGAAATGGCTCTTGTCTCTTTGGAAAGATAGTCATTAAAAATATCCCAGTGTTGACAGACCAGTTCCTTATAAACATAAACCCGGTTGTATTAAATGTGTGTGGGGTATTACAATGATGTAACTTTTTTCAGTGATGATACTGATGATAATGCAACAAAAACAATGATGATACTGATGATAATGCAACAAAAACAATGATGATGATGATGATAATGAT